AGTTTTGAATGTTAAAAAACTGATCCAGTGTGCCTAGTGTGCTATTCTATCTTGTGGTCTTTAGCTGCAAGAACCCAGACTGTACCAGTCTGCTCCCACTAATTGCCCAAACCTATCTGGTAGTCATCAGCTGCAGGAAACTTAAATTGTTCTAGTCTATTTTCATGTCTGACATTCTCCTGGTCTAGGATCTGGGAGTGAAAGACTGTTGCTACTATCTAATATAGAGGGGCCTCTGCTAATTCTGTGCCTAATATTCTCATGGTTCACAGCTGGGAGTGAACGACTGTGTTGCTATCACCTAAAGAAGTGTCCTCTGCAATTTGGTGCGCAGACATTTTGAAGTATCCCATATCCCACTATCCTCCCAAGTTACACGTTTTTCAGCAATGAATCAAACAAGACATCCCCTACACTGAATATTGAGCAAGAATGAATGAACTGTTGCTGTGTGCCTGGCTGCCTCTGCACTAATCTGGGAGAAAAACCTGTGGAATTCAGCTTTCCTTTCAGGGGTTTGAGCATCTGAGTAGGGCAGAACCCAAACCTAGGTTTTGTTTGGTGATTGTTATCAAAGTTTGGGATCCAACCCCACTTAAATAAATGGGAGCTGAATGTTCAATTTCAGTAATGGCTATTTTTTAGGTTAATAGTGAAGGGATTGTCAAACAAAGGGCATGGGGCTCTGGCTGGTGGTGTTGGTAATATGAACCAAAACAAATATTAATATTTTGAATATTATCATTCAGTGGGGAGGTGGTCTTTAGAGGTGTCTTAAAGGGAAATATTGAAAACCCAAAAACCCTCAAATTACATACTTGATGGGTGCCTTAAGGCTGTATGTGGTTTTACAGAACATGAATTCTCAGGAACAACATCAGTGGTGCTGTATTGTAGCATCAAATAAGTTGCATGTGTAATAATTTGCATTATTGCTTGGCTTACAAATAGTACCAGCAACCCAATATGACTGACTTAATCGTAAAAGTGGTATTCATTAGGTAGATTTGGCAAAGACAACTGTTTTTTGTGAAGCAGCAATAGTCCATGAGTGGTGCACGTAGAAGAGACAATTATATCTAAAATCCCCCTGAATGTACATACCACCATAGTAGAAACCCACATTCCAGAACTGAGGCAGTTGTTATGCCGAACTAAAAAAAATGATAGTTTTATGTTTCAGAGAAAACAGCCAAACATATTGCACAGTGGCTGGAGAGTATGTAAGAAGTTTGATTTGGACTGGGACATCAACCTATGGGGGAGAGATTATTTCATTCTTGTTCCTAAAATAACAGCTGGAGTGTATTATGTCAAAGACAGCAGACATAAATATTGTATAGACTAGCTGTGCATTATGCAAGTGATTGTACTTGGCCACTATGTTAGCATGTTATGAAAAAAAATTAGGTAGCAGTCCAAAGAGCCAGAAATATTTTACAGACGTGGTGTACTCTAGGTACAGTAAGTGTAAGCACACCTTTTGGAATTTGAGAGCTACGGTTTTCTTCCCAGACAGATCATAGAAATTCTGATTGGTTATGTTCTGACACCTGACCACTATCAGAACTGTTCTGATCCATCCCAGTGTCCTCAAGGAAAGAAGGGGAAAAAGATGCAACTTTCAAATCCCTGGACCCCTGCACCGGCTGTGTGGGCATTGAAAGCTAATCATCCATGGAGGTAGGTGCAGTGGGGACAGAGGGGGGTGGAGGGGGTGCACAGCATTGATTCAACTTTTCATTTTTGTTAAAAGGTGAACTTAAGCTTTAAGCTTTGATACCCATACTGCATTTTTTTTTTTTGACCAACTGAATTATATATGTAAATGCCTTGCACTGGAAATAGCCCAATTCAGCTGTCATGTGTAGTGCCAGCATCCCATAATAAGTGCCAACATTTTACATGAAGAAAAGGTTTCAGACTCGACTGAAGCGATGGCCGCCCAGGCTGCTTAAATTTGCAGTAGCTGAGAGCTATTTCACTGGTTCATTTGCAGGGAAAACATTACTTAGAATTCTGTCTTAACTAATCTGAAAACTTGTTTGTTTAACTGATTTTTACATTCTTTTCTCATGTACCAAGGATCATGTGGTCCTCAGACAAAACTATTTCAATGCCCAGCTTGTTAGAACTTAGACATATATTCTGTGGTGTTTAAAATGCAATTAATATGTCATTAATGTGTTATTACTGCACACAGGGTTCCAAAACATTAAAAACAAATCTATCACAAGGCAGAATTCTGGTTTCATACCAGTTCTGGACAAATATTCCCAAAAGCATCATCATATCTCCCACTTATTTCTATTGGGATAGGGGACACTATGACATTGGGGCTAACTTCGCACTTTGCATGGGAATTTTCCTCAGAGCTTTGTGAATAAGGCAAAATCTAACCTTTACTTAAACGTGGAAGTACCATTCATCCTCCACCCCTGTCTGTAAAACATTTTAGTTTGGAGGGTTGTTTATGGAGAGTGGATACCATTTTTGATGAGTTTATGCTCCCACGTTCTCATTTATCTTTGCAAGACCAGTCTTGATGCGCCATGCAAAGTTAGGACTCAAGAAGTCACAGCTGGCTCCCAAATTCAAGATGGTGTCACCTGGCACCCACAGCGGTGCGTAGAATTGGCTGCGAGACAACAGCACAATGGTTTTTAAAAGATGTAACCACAGTTTTTGTAGAGGATAACTTTTATTTATTTATTTATCTTTCAATTGGTGAAATTCCTCTTGAAGCGCTGTTTATTTTCATCATCCAATCAAGCTGTCTTTTTGTATTTTCCTTAAACATGGCTGTTCTTTGCAACGTGAAATTTCACCACATTCACTAAGCTCTGGGGAAAACTCCCTTGCAAAGTGAACAGCCTATTTGCTATTAGTAAATTAACCCTAAAGTGACTCTTTCCAATAAGCAAGCCATAGATTATCCAGGTCAGCTCTTTGGACGTACTACGTACAGTACATCCAAAGAGTGAACCATTAATCACAAGCTGATGGTTGCAGTAGCAAATAAATAAGGTGAGGCTCTGTTAATTTTCATTGCCCAATCTTGTGCAAAGAAAACACATTTTTTCCATGTATATGTTTGGATGGCTGCAACAAACATAACTTTATTTACTGAGTTTTGTGAACATTTACTTTGGAAAATAAACAGTCTTTGTTCCTTTAGTACAGTAACTCCATTGTATCTGTCCAAGTGCATCAAATAAATATGCATCGGCACATGCGCAGTGATCCAAGATGGCGGACGCGTGAGAGCTGAGCTCTGCCACTGAGGTAGGCACTTGCCGTTTCGGGTCAGCTGCCGTGTTGCTCCCTTGTATATCAGGTTTTAAGACCTGATGACTCGGGATATTTCCAATATCCCGGGTATATATCTTTGATGATATCTTTGTTTCTGGCCTTAATCCCTACAGCTTCTGTTTTGAGTGATATATTTGTTTGTAGCAGGATGGCTCTTTTCATTTCGCCTCCGAGAGCTTTCCACAGTCCTACTCGGCTTTTGATCCCTCTGGGAAAACTGGGAGTAACTATTTTGATTTGGAAAAAACTGCTCCCTGAGGGTCTCCTCCTCTCAAGTTGACCCACTAGGTCGTTATATCTTGCTGGAATGTATGTACGAAGGCTCTCCACTTGTGCTTTTGAATTTGTATGCACCCAACTCTGATAAGCTGTTGTTTCTATCTCAAACCCTGGATAAACTGTGTTCCCTAGCCACTCCATGCATGATTTTTGGGGGGATTTTAATCTGGTTATGTCCCCTCACAAAGATAGGAGGGTGCTGTTTGCGCCCAACCCATCAAAGAGACTATGCTCCTCAACGACTTTCTTTGACACTTGGCGAATCAGGCATCCTCTCCAAAGGCAATTCACGTTTTATTCTACTCCACATCGCATGTTCTCTAGACTGGATCACTTTTTCGGCACTTTTTGGTTTCCTTGGAGATCAACCTGATAACTTGGTCAGATCATGCCTCATTTTCACTTGCTCTCCTTCTCCCGACCTCTTCCCCTAAGGTTTGTCATTGGCACCTCAATGAGAGTTTTCTGCGCTCGGAACAACTTTGAGAGGAGCTCCCTCGAGGTTTGAATGTTTATTTTCAACTTAACGCTGGTTCGGTATTGTCATCCAAAACCCACTGGGAGGCACATAAGACTGTTTTTAGAGGCTTCTGTATCTCCATGGGGTCTCGCTGAAGAAGGCCTGTGTGTGTCAGAGAATCCTTCCTGCGTCAATTATCATTGGCCGAGCGTCGATTACTAGACAATCCGTCTATATCTCGGCTTCAGAAAGTTTCCCATCTACGGGATCGAATCAAGGCTCTTAATCTGCATAAATCTGCTCAGTCTCTTGCCTGGTCTAGCAAAAATGGTATGCGTTTTCTAATAAACCGCATCGTATGCGTGTAAATTTGGGGAATACTATGAGAAACTTTATAACTGCCTAGCCCCTGATAATCACCCTCCTCTTCAGATGGCTGCATTTGATGCTTTTTTTGACTCCTTTCAATTGCCATGTTTGTCACCTTCCGATGTTACAGCCCTAAATGCAGACATCTCTACTGAAGAACTATTGGATGTTGTCATGAATCTCCAGGGTTGGACAGTCTTCCGTACTCATATTACAAGTCCTTTATCGGCATCTTAGTCCCCCATTTCCTGACCTTGTTCCGGGATCTCCTGAAAGGGTGCATTCACATTTCTGGCATTTTACCCACGCATACATTTCTGTGATCCCCAAGCCGAAAAAGGATCATTCCCTTCTGTATAATTATTGCCCATTAGCCTTACTAAATTCTGACTACAAGATTTTTCCGAAAATACTAGCTAACAGATTGGCAAAATGTATCTCCAAGCTTATACACAGAGTGTCAGGGCTCCCAGGTGAGACCAGAGGTGTGTGGCTGACGCAGGGAAACGCAGACCTCAGATATGTTATAAACAATATAATTTATTAGCACTAACAATACAAACATAAACGCAGTGCAATACTAAAACATAATACAGTGCAACCAAACCAAACCAAACCAACCACCCACAGATAACAGTACATACAAGCAAGCGTCGTCAGGCAGGCCGGGTCAATATCAATAGGGCAGGTAGGTACAGAGGGAGGAAGCGGAGATTGGTCGGGGTCACAGGCCAGGTTCAGCAGGTAGCAAGCAGCGTAGTACAGAGGGTCAGGCAGAGGGATGGTCAGGGTCACAAGCCAGGGATCAGAACAGGTAGCAAGCAGCGTGGTACAGAGGGTCAGGCAGAGGGATGGTCAGGAGCGAGCCGGGATCAGAGCAGGAGAAGTCAGCAGCGGTTCAGAAACAGGATGCAGGACAGAAACAGGATGCAGGACAGAAACAGGATGCAGGGCCCAGGACAAACACAACACCAAGGCAGAGTCTGTGGGTCTGGCCATCCCTTAAATACCCCAGCATAATCAGTTCCAGGTGTTAGCTGGCTGCAAAGTTGAGTCTCTGATTGCTGGGAGCATCCGCTGGCCAGCCCTGGTACTGCAGATCAAAAGGCAGGTGAGTCCCACCATTGCTGGCCAGTCCATTCCTGACACAGAGACCAGGTGGGATTTGTCCCAGCTAGACACGCCGCATATAATACCAGGAGGACAATTGACCTGATTGATCTAGTCAATAAGTCCCCGACCCCTACTCTCTTGTTGAGCTTGGATGCCCAAAAAGTGTTTGATAGACTAAGTTGGCCATACATGTTTCTAGTCCTGGATAGATTTGGGTTTAGTGATCCTTTTGTAGCTGGTTAAAAAGCCCTCTACTCCACTCCCTCTTTCCAGGTCAAATTGGCTTCGTTTCTATCTCCTTCCTCTTGGATGTCCAATGGAACTCGCCTGGGATGCCCGCTTTACCCTTTGTTGTTTATCCTCTGTTTGGAACCCCTGGCTATAGCTATTAGAACCAATCCGGATATCCATGGGATTCGCATGTACGACAGGGACTTTGTTTGATGATGACATCTTGCTGACGTTGACGGAACCCCAATGTACTGCAAAGTAATGTACCCTGCCCATCTTACATCATACCCTACAACTTTTTGGTGCACTATCGGGTTATAAGGTCAACTCGTCTAAAACTAAAGCATTACCACTCCATATACTGTCTACGATTCTATCCCCCCTTCAGTTGAATTATCCCTATCGGTGGTGCCCCCACGCCTTGAAGTATTTAGGTATCAATCTTACGTCCCCATGCCACTCACTTTATGAAGCTAATTTCTCCCCTCTGCTTCATGCAATCTCTCAATCTATAAAAATCTTGGGATAATCTTGCCATCTCCTTCCTTGGACTGATTAATGTGCTAAAAATTTACCATACTGCATAAACGTCTGTACCTATTCCCATGACCAAATTGCGCTCCCTTCAGAAATCCTTCCTCCACTTCATCTGGCATAATAAATCCCACCGCATTGCCCGTACTGTCCTCCTCTCTCCTCGATCTAGGGGGGTCTGGGGACCCCAGACATTGTGTCGTATTATTTGGCTACTTACCTTCGTGTCCTGGTCTCGTGTACTTCCCAACGCCCCCCTAATAAATAGCCCAAGATTGAGTGGCTACAGATAAGTCCAACACACCACTGCTCTCTACTCTGGTCCTCGTCAACATTGAAACCACCTCTTACAAACGTCTCCTGCTTGGGCCCATGCATTTCTTGTTATCTACTGTATATGGAAGCGGTGTAGGATTAGATTTGCTCTGGCTTCTCAGTGTTCCCCCCTGACCAATGTTATACTTAATCCCAGTCTCCCGGATAGCTTGGCGTTGGCCCGCATGCATCTTTGGGCCGAAGCCAATCTATTTCAGTAGCGATACTTGGTCCACCCAGTGACCGTCAAGCTTAAATCTTTTTCTGAGATTCAAATAGCTACTCATATGTCATCTCACCAGTATTATGTTTATCTACAGATATGTCACTTTTTTTCCTCTAAAGCCTCCTCACTAACCCTTGAGAAGCCCACTCCCTTTGAACGCATCTGCATTCAGGGTCCGTACCAACGGGGCATTATTTCCTCCACTTATAAACTGCTTTAAGATGCCTGCCCCCTTACTATTGATACACACCTTTATATGTGCAAATGGCCCCGAATCCTCCAACAGGATATTGCCTTGGATCAATGGAGTAGGATTTGGGAGGCTGCCTCCAGATCTTCTATATGTGTAGTGTATAAAGAAAACACTTATAAAATACTTATGTTTTGGTATAGGACTCCTGAGGCTCTCCATGCTCGCAATCTGAACACTTCTCCTGCTGCCTGCTGGCAATGTGGCGAGGAAACTAGCACTCTCTTCCACATTTTCTGGAACTTTGCACCTTTCCGGAGAGAGTTCCTTTACATTTTGCAGATACTCATAAAGGCTCCTGTTGCATTTGAGCCCATTTACTTTTTATTGGGCCTACCTTTTTCAGGTCTCTCCAAATTTGCCAGAAAATTATCCTCCTGTGATTTAACAGCGGCCAGAAGAACCATTCCCATGCATTGGCTTTCTACTATGCCTCCTTCTACACGATCAGAATTAGTGAAGGTTATAGCAGAGATTACAAGAATGGAATACCTCACTGCTTTACATGCTAATGCTGTCTCAACCTTTGAGGCAGTTTGGGAACTGTGGGATCTTTTCATTTCTGACTTACCTACTCAATTGTCTGCAAATGATGGCTAATTCACTGTTATGTACTGATATTGTATGTATCTATATACCTCTCAATGATGAGCCTCTTTCTTTGTTCTTTATTGTTTATTTCAATATTTATGCAACTCTGTTTGTTGTAAACATTTTGAAAATCAATAAAAAATAAATTATCAAAAAAAATAAATGTGCATCATACAGTGCATACAGGGAAACTCCCTCTTTAGACAGTCCTTGCAGCTTTGGAGGCGACATCATAAATCATATAACAGAGTCACTAAAAAAGTGGGAATTTATCAAAACATACAGTGCTTGAACAAAGAGGGAACTTTCCTGCATGCTGTGTATGTAAGAGAAAGACATTGCTAGATTGGGGCAGTGGTAATGTTATTGCATTATCTCCCCACTGTGTGCAAATCTCTTTGGTAATATCTCTACTCTTATGATGACAATCCATAAGGGCAACAAGCAGCTATCACTATGGGCATGTAAAAAAATTCTGGCATCATGACAATCTTTCTGAGAACTTATAACAGTCTCTGGTAGTATGGTGACATCCCTGGAAGTCTCCTTGGTGATATGTAGCACCTCTGGGTAACACAACACTTTGTTTCGATAGCATGCAGCTCTCCTTGGCATCATGGTCATCTCTTTGGCAGAATGACAGTCTTTCTGGCAACATGCAGGTGTCTCTAGTAATAATCTGCCAGTTAACATGGCAGTCTCCCGATTCGATCAGGTGCTGGTAACCGGCAGCTCTCTCTTGTAGTACAGTAATTTCTCTGGTATCTTGGCAGTCAGTAAGTAGCATGGAGTTCAGTCTTTCTGAGAACATGCCAGCAGTCAGTACTCTTTTTGCAACATACAGCACCCCCTTGACCAGTTGCAAGTAGAATATCATTTGCTGTTCTCAAACAATGGTTAATCCATAAACCTATGTTACTAGGCACTTCCTCTTGTGACAATTATTTACCTAAAATTGTTAACAAAATATGAAGCTAGAAATCACTATAAAGATCCCCAAAAAACACTGAAACAAATGTGAAATTACAACTAGATATATATTTATGTGAATAGCAATGTTCCTGAGGAAGGAAGGCACACTTGACTGTGTGTCAGACTTTTTCTCTTACAGTATTCAAAATATTATATTTATTTTGACTACAAAGACATTTACCTGGCTGGGGGCAGGTAACTGGAGTTGGCCCAGAGCCTTTGTTTCCATACTCCCTCCTTCTAACTCTCTCTACCCAACTCCAACTACCTCTTTGCCTCTCCTTTTTTTTTCTTTTATCTATTTTCTTTTTTACCTTATCACTCTCTTCGCCTTTAGAGATCTTTTCTTCTCTGACCCTTTCTTTCAAAATCTCTTTATGTCTGTTCAGAAAATAATCTATAAAGCAGTATTTCTCAAACTATGAGTCAAGACTAGAGAAACAGTTCAGGTTCACTGCAACCATAGGTTTAAGGCAAATCCTAGCGCTATCACCGTGTTAAAGATTCACTGTCTCATCGAATTTATATGTAGATTCATCCAGCAGATTTAAACCATTGCATTTGAACTATGGCCAGCAGTCCTAGATAGGCCAATAAGGGGGCTTTTGGTTAAAAAAGTAGTAAACACTCCTCCAAAACCAAAAATCCAGGTCCCCTGCAAGTTGATGTCATGATGTGCTAGTTTGCATCATATACTAGCACATTACAAAAGATTTACCATAAAGCAAAGCCCTCCAGCAGTGTACTGTCCCCACTGCCATGGCTTCCATTTTCACCTGGTCTGGGTTCACAGGCTCCGGCCATTTGAGTGGCCAAGCCGAGATGACGTCACTCCCACGCACAGGAGTCATGGCAGTATAACAGCACTCTCAATATACAACATACTTAAGTATGCCAGCCATTCAGAGTGCAGTGCACATGCTCTGGTGCGCCAGTACTGGTTGCAAAAGATGCGAATAGCTCCCAAACAGTGCACGTATAGGAGATATTTATTTTATTACAGGTAATCATCATTATAAAGCTTACCTGTAGGTAAACGTGACAAAGCAGGGTTTACTACCACTTTAAGCCAAACTTCACCATAAAAAGGATAGACATAGAGCAACCATAGTGTTAGTGAATTGGAAGCAGTTGTAGGGAGAGATTAGGGCAATTAGGCAACTGTACGTTAGTTCTGATTTTTGCTTTTTTGGTAATCATACCTTTTGCTGTCTTTATTATGCTGTTGTTTTTTATTCTTAGCATTGGGGGCTTTTTGTCCTGTATTTTATTTTGTTGCTGATTTGAGGTCGTGTTTAGATGCTGTCCTATACACATTCATCGCATACCCCCTATCCCTATGGATAAAATAAAAATTAGGCATACAATAGTTAGACTAATTTTCCTGGATTAAAACTGTCCTACTGCTGGTCACTTTTTATACTGTACATTGTATCCTCTGCAGTATCTTAATTGTTTTGGTAAAAACTCCAGCCTTTGCACTTTGTCTCTAGTAAGTTTGGTCTTAGCCTTGCTCATTACACTGCTGTATCATCTGCAGTCTTTTAATTTTTGTAGTAAACATACCGCCTGTACTCTATATCTCTAGTAAAGTTGGACCTAGCCTCCATATTTAAAAGTGTCCTTCTGCTGGCCAATCTTACACTGTGGTGTCATCTGCATTCACCAATTGAAATCCTGGGGAAAGAAAAAATGCTCCCTTGCAGTGTGACTGCCCTGCACTGCCAGGTATAAATGCCTAAAAGCAATTTTACTTTCTTGATCCT